AGGTGCCTGCTTGCCTCTCCAACCCGTCCCCAGGCCCCACTTCCTGTCACCAGAGGAGGCCCTAGCAGGGAGGTCTGGACAGACATTCACACTGGGGAGAATTCCAGAGTCTTAGAGGCTAAGAGGTGAGTCCCTGGGAGGATCTACCTCCCAGATAAAATAAGTATTGGAAACGTAAAGCCTGGTAGGAAGGAGATTCATTGTGAACAAAATTAACCATTTCCAGAACTTGTCCTGAGACGTGGAGGTGGTCCAGTTCCAGACCCACAGTACAGAACTGGTCACCCCAGGGTCTGAGAATGCTGACTCATGCTGTCCTCGCTCTGTGGGGTGGGATCAGCACCAGAACACCAGGTCATTCCATGATGCGGTGTTGGCTTCATTTTAGAGCAAAATACCCTCCTCCAGGCCACCTCAGCATCCTCACAGCACACTTTCTAAAGAGTTAATCCTGGGCCTATGAAGGGCTTTGTAATTCTGCTAATGAGTAGTTGATTACATAGATATTTAAATATCACCCCTGGTTATGATTATTGCAACGCGGTCGAGTGGCGTGCCTTGCCTGCTATTATCACATTGGCCAGCAGGTGGCAGCACAGGCGCGCTCAAAGGCCAGGGTTGCTGGAAAAAGGCGCGAAACGTTTCCTGGTTCAGTTAACCCTGCAGGGACCCCGGCTTCCTGGCTCTGTGATGCACCTACCAGCATATCCGACTCGGCATAAGCAGGGGAAACTGAGGCACGAGGACGCCCCACCACCACCACCTTTGAAAGCTCACCTAGGAAAGATGGCATTTGCAGGCGCAGCGTGCTGGCCTGGAAACCTTGGCTTTAATCCTGGGCGTCATGTGATGCAATACCCCATATTTCTGACCTGTTAAAAGCACTTAGCAAGTAGCTGTTCATACACATACATCGCCTCACGTACTCCTTACAACAAACCTCAAGGTAAGTCTCTGCAGCCTCTCTTATGGAGGAGGAAACCGAGGCACAAAGGGTGTCACATGGCAGTGACAGAAGTGCTTGGCCTTGTCCTCCCTCCCTAGCTGGGGAGGTTCTTGATGCTGAATCACACAACTTCTTTATCAGGCGGCACAGCCACATCTCATCAAGGATAGGGACTCAACCTATGGAAGGGAGATGGAGCAAGGAGAGCGGACCCAGACTTTTCCTGAGGGGTGGTGTGTTTTCAGAAGAGCATGGATTGGGCAGGAGGTGAGGATTAGGGTGAGGTCCCAGCTGCTGGGCTGGGTGGAAGGAGACCAGAGTTGTGTTTCGTTTCTGCTGACCGGCCACTGTGACCTTGGACAGGCCTTGACCCTCTTTGGGCTTTTGTGGATTAGAGCATCCCACAGATCCTTGCTGGTCCTCATGACCCAGGGAATCCAGAAACTCCAGCACATAACACTTTCATGAACTAAAAGAAGCAGAGCCAAGGCCCATGGAAGAATCTTGATGGGATGAGAGGCCAGAGAGAAATGCTGGGAGCCTGAGTGAAACGGTCCCAGCATTGGGCTGAGCCACCTGGAGCCTTGGGTGTGGTCTCCAGGGCCCCACCTTAGGTTTCACTTGTCACAGGCTGGGTGGGCCCTCAGGAAGCAGAGGTCGAGATGGAGTTCGGAACCCACAAACAAAGTGGGGAGCAGGTTCCATCAGGGGACACCATTAGACGGGGGTGCAGGTCCCACCAGCACAGGGACTTGATCCAAGACCCTCTGCTAGAGGCGGCCATGCTAGGTGGAAATGGCCAGGCTCTGGTGCCACTGCCCCCGGCCTGACCCTCCCTGCCCCCTAGCCTCCTCCCAAGGATGAGCCAGGCTGGAAAGCAGAGGCAGCCCCTGGAGGAAGCCGTCAGCCCGCCACATTCCTCAGAGTAGCTCTCTTGAAGGGGTAGGGACCTAGACCACCTGCCCTTGGGGTGGGAATCTAGGGATTAGTGCCCCACTGTCTCATGGGCCCAGGGAAGGATTGGGGGGGGCAGATCTGAAGAGCACAGGTGTGTGCATGCATGTCTGGGGCGTGCACAAGGGTCTATATGCAGGTGTGCAGCAGAGGTGCAGGTGTACGGGTGTGTGCACATGCTGAGTGTGGTATAGGCATGTGCCCATGCTGTTTCTATGTGCGTCCATGTTTGTGTGTGTGTGTGTCCAGGGGTACACGTGTGAACTTGCTCACATGCAGCGTCCCGTGTCCTTTTGATGGAGGCTGCAGCTCTGGGCACCTCTGGCAGATGGCAGCTTGGACCAGTTGGTTGGACTCAGCCCAGTGCCTGGCAAGGAGCCTGACAAGTGCTGCAGGGCGCACAGCTAGGAGACCTCCAGGCAGGGGCAGGCAGTGACACTGGACCACCAGAAAGCAGCAGCAGCACCTTGAGATTTCTGGAGCCCTGACTGCACCAGGCAGGGGGCTCAGCTCTTCCCGATGATTCCATACTTAACACAGCCTCCTGAGAGGCGTGAAGTGGTTATGTCCGTTACATAGATAAGGATATTTTGTGCCCCTGAGGTTCAATCAACAGACATTTTATTGAGCACCTATGTGCAAGGCTCAGTACAGAACAAAAAAAAGAAACTTCTGCCATGGGGTGAGAACATTCTAGAATGTGGGGGAGAGGTGGAGGTGATTGGTTGGTGAAATGGGCTCAATCCCTCCAGGGATGGTCAAGGGGGGCCAGGGCCTGGGTAGGGGCCTGCAGAGAGCCTGACAAGATGTGTGTACCAGGGCAGGAGCATGGTTGTTCCAGACCCTGCACTCGCACCTGGCCTCTCCTCCACCTTCCCCTGGGTCAACTGAGATAAGAAACCAAGGCCAGTCTCTGGAGGTGTTCAGCCTGGGGTGGGCGCAGGAGTACCTCCAAATTGCAGATGCCTGGTCCCCACGGCCCTGGGCCTGCCAGGCCAGGACTGGGCTGGAGTCCAGGAGTTGTATGTCAGTGAGTGTCCCACAGATCCCTGCCATGCACCCATGCTGGGGGGCCTGTGTCTAAACACCCAGGCTGCAGGGTCCACCCAGAGCTCCTGCTCAACCCCATCTGTGACTGGGCGGAACTGCTGCAGAATATTCTCATCAGAACAAAGGAAGGCCCCGCCCCCAGTCCCCGCCCCCACACACCTTTTCCAGAGTGAGCAGAGGGGCTTGAGGGGGAATCTAGATAATTTTGTCAGGCTCACACATAGAAGGCAGCTGTAGCTGTTTTAGATTGGGTCCCTGGGAATCAGGCTCAAGAGAATTGTGGGCAGTGATATTGGGAAGACATTGAGGGAGGGAGGGGTGCAGAGGGGTGAGAGAGAAGCTGGCCGCAGTGTGGGTTAGCTGAGGGAGCCGCTCGGGAGCTCTGGAGCTGGGCTGGCCTCATACGGGCATTACCCTGTCTGGGACCAGTCTTTATGTGACCAGGATAATTTTCCAGTGAGGAGCAGAGCTGGGACTATGGGCACCCCCACACTTACTGCACCCTGGCTTCTTGTCCACCCTGGGTCAGGACTTGGGACTCCTGCTTCAACCCCACTGCCCAATACCGTGTATCCAGCCATGGGGAGGGGGCGCACAGCATGCCCAGGCTCTTCCCTACCCTCCACATCAGGCCCCTGGATGGATGCAGAGTGGGGGTCTTCCTCCCAGTCCCTCCTTGAGACTCCTGTCCTTGGAGGCTGGCCTTGGCCGGGTCCCAGGGAGCTCAGGCCAGCATCCTCAGAGCCGCCCCAACTGTGAGTGCTGGGGAGCCAGCTCCTCCCTCCCACCCCGGACTCTGAGGGTTGGGGGACAAGGGGCCTGCGCTCTGCCCAGCGATTTCCCTTGAGCCTGGTGGGGGTGTAGCCTACCCGGGCAGGCTCGGTGACGCAGGTCAGCAGTGGGGAGGCTGCCTGGGCTGGGGGTGAGCCAGGGCCTGTGGCGGCCCCTCTGTCCAGGCCAGATGGCTGCTGGCTCCAGTGGGAGGGGCTGCCAACACCTCCGGTTGGTGTCCTGGCGCAGGGGGGCCTTGCCCTGTTCTCGCCCATCCCTGCACCCATGCCTCAGCTCCCGCACTCCCACCCCTGGGCCTACCCAGGCCCCCTGAGCCTCACCTCCACCCTGACCCAGGCCCTGCAGGACCCCTGTGAGGCAGGGTGGGCAGCAGGGCCCTCTCTCCTGGCCTCCCCTTTCCTCCTCAGTTCAGGCTGGACCGGCTCTTCCCCTGTTGGTTCATTCATTCCTTCAACAAAGAGAGGCCAAGCACCTCGCCTAGGCCAGGCCCCGTCCTCAGCCTGGAAACTACCAGACGATCGAGAGGGATGAGGACCCCACCCTCACAGAGCCGAGCTCTCCTGGGGAAGATGAGAAAACCAGGGAGCAAGGTGTATGGTGGGTGACAGGGCTGAGGCTGGGAGCCTTCAGAAAGGGTCACAGGAAGGCCTCCCCGAGGAGGGGACACCTGAGCTGAGGCATGGACAAGATGAGGATGCACAGCCTCTGGGGACATGACCCCCATCCCCAGCACGGCCTGCTCAGGAAGCCGTCGGCCACCCCGATTCTGTTTCCTCGGATCAAGCAACACCTACACACAACCTAGAGCCCGAAACTAGGATCCCTGGAGGTCATGTCATCCATGCCCCTGCCTCCGGGTGGACATGGTATTCTAAGGCTCATTTTGCAGATAGGACTATTTAGCTCCGAGGAGGCTTGTCCATTGCCCGTCAGTGAGGCAGCATGGGAACCAGAGCCGTGGTCCCGTGTTCCCCCACCCCAGTCCCAACCCTTCCAACCTCTCCTGCCCCTGTTTTAAGACAATGCTCAGGTTGATATCTGTCTGTCCTGGACCTCCACCTTTCCTGGGCCCCTCACAAGGAGGTGCACACAACAAGGGCATACTCAGTGTCTCTGGATGGAGTGGGTGGCTGCATGCAGGAGTGTGCTGGGCTGGGTGCCGGTGTCCGGGACGACTTGAGCAGAGACCTTCAGCAGAACAGATGTGAGTCAGGCTTAAGGATGCTGAGGGGTTTTCTAGCGAGCCAGGGGACTGGTTTGGGGTATTTCTGTTTGGAGTGGGAAGGATATCCCAACCAGAGGGAGCAGCACGTGTGGAGACAGGGGGACAGGACATGGACGGATCAAGGAACAGCCATGGTCCCACTGGCCTGAGCAAGGGAGGATGGGCAGTGGGGCCAGGAGTGGCAGGGACGGGACATGGGCTGATTGGCAGGTTAAGGAGCTGAGGCTGACCTGCAGGTCTGGGCAGGTAGGGGAGGGGAATGAGCTGCCCAGGGAGCCCTGGAAGCAAATCCTGATGTGCCAAGTGCACTTGTGCAAGTCATGTGTCCTCTCCAGGCCTCAGTTTCCCCTTGGCATGATTTGGGAGAGGCACCGACTCCCAAGGAACCGCCCACCCCCGGCCGTGCGCAGACTTGTCCCGGGACGGCTTCACGCTTTAGTCCTAACAACACACAGGCTCCTCGGGTAGATATGGAATTTCTCTAATGCCCCGATCTCTCTTTTGCCACGCGTGGCTTTGCTCTGCAATATTCTGGCGGCCCTCGTAGAGGCACAGGTCCCAGGGCCTCCAGTTACAGGGGAGCCTGTGTTGACAAGCTCTTCTTTACCTTCAAGCCCTTCCTCTTGTGGAGCCCTGTCCAGGGCAGGCTGGCGTCGTGGGCCTGGGTGTGGGCATGGCCCAGCTCCGAGGGTGGGGGTGGCGGCATGAGTGGGACCAGCATGGCCACGGGCATCACTGGCATCAGTGGTATCAGCTCCTCTGAGGACCCGGGAGAGTTGGGGGTCAGCTCATCGGGATCCAGGTTGGCGTCGCTCCAGCCCTCAGAACTGTCACTGTGGCCCTCTGGACGGATGGTTTCATCCTCAGAAATGGTGACCAGTTCAGCTGTGTCCTCCCGAGGGTTGACGTCTATGTCTTCTGTGCTTTGGTTGGTGACCACCTCAAACTCGCCAGCGGGGTGGCCATCCGCTGTGCCCTCCTGCTTCTGCTTGGAGCCAGCCACCGGCGCAACACAGAGCCCTGCCCCAGGCTGGGCAGGCACCTTGGCTTTGCACTGGCCCGTCCAGAAGAGGGTGAGCTCCTGGCGGCAGGCAGCCACAGCCAGGCTGGTGACCAGGGTGATGGACACTAAGTAGAGCAGGGCCGGCTGGCCCATCTCCATGAGAACCATGGCGACAAAGGTGACCAGCAGGCCCACGGCGTAGGCCATGGTGCAGGCCACATAGTAGACCTGGCGAGAGCAGACTTGCACATCAAAGCGGTGACAATAGGCAACCAGGAAGCCGGGGACCACAATGTCACCGAAGCCAAGGATGGAAAAGGGCTGGTCACATAGTGTCAAGGCCGAGAAGCTCAACCGGGGCACCTTGAGCACCATGGGCAGCCTCTCCTGGCTGGAAGAATCTGTTGGGCCTGCAGCGACCTCCACCATGATGCTCTCCCCTGTCTTGGTGAAGAGGGGTGTGACAAAGACGAAGAAGACATCGAAGGCCAGCAGGGCCATCAGGAAAGAGGCACAGTTCTTGAGTGTGGGCAGCCGCACACGCCGCAGGACGAAAAGGCAGTAGGTGATGCCCAGTATGTCCTGCAGGAGCCACGCCCAGCGGTCCTCATTGCGGTAACTGACCCAGAGAAGGGTCACCAAGGCACACAGGCCTGCCAGCAGCAGCAGGGACAGCTGCAGATAGGACCGGCTGCCAGGCCACTGGTATTGCCACAGGGACACGTGACGCACCAGGGGTGCCAGGCAGCTGTAGAGGCCGGTGCCGGCGCCCAGGCTGAAGATCCCAATCATGACGTAGACGAAGCAATCATAGAAGAAGTAGAGCAGCACCATGATAGAGCAGGACATGGTGACCACGGCGCCCGTCATGGCTGGTGTGAAGTCCACTGGCGAATCCTCATCCTCCTCACCCTCCTGACCTCCCTGAGACCCCTCGGCTATTGCTCCTTGCGGCTGATTGTGACCTCCAGGCCCCCCTCCTCCTCCTCGGGCCCGGAGCCGCTGCAGCCGATCGGCCTCAGTCATGCCGGCCCAGTAGCCTCCTGCGGCCACGGTGCCCACAGCCAGGATGAAGATGACCACCATGTTGTAGTCCATGACGGGCTCCGGGGGCGCGTACATGGCCACGTGGATGACGGCATTGCCGCGAGCGTGGCTGAAGATGTCAAGCATGTCACTGTAGCGCAGCACGGCCACAGGGATGGTGAGGTCTGGCAGGGGCTTGCGGGGGTCTTGGGATGCTGGTGTGGTGTCTGAGCACTGTCGGTTGCTGACCCGGCTCACGATGAGCAGCCCGTGGGCGCCTCGGCCCTGAGCCAGCCAGCCCTTCTCGTAGAAGCTGCAGTTGCCCCTCATGACCATGGCGGTGGTGTGGCGGAGGGGCTGTGGTCTGGGGGAGCTGGGCTGGGCCTGGTGGAAGGAATCCTCTCCTGGGCACCAGGCTGCCATGGTGCCATCGTACAGGGGCAGGAGGGGGGCGTGGCTCAGGTCTCGGGGTAGGGTGACGTAGTCGGAGCTGAACAGGATACAGTAGTCCTTGCTCCAGTTCTCGGACACCACGTGGACCACGCCGTACTCCCCCTGGGCCATGGTGCTGATTAGGAGGAGGAGTGAGCCCACTAGGAGGAGGAAACCCAGGCACGCCATCCTCCTCAGCCACCTACTGTGTTGTCCCCGGGTGGCAGCTGCCCACAGCCTAACTCCCCTGCCAGGCCAGGGTGTGGCTCTCTGTCACAGAGCAGCTTGGCCACCCATCCTGGAAACCAGGGCCACACCTACCTAGTCACAAAGCTGCGTGATCCTTGGCGGAGGACACTGGCACAGGGCACAGGGTCCCTTCCAGGATTGTGTTCCCCAATCCTGGCCCTGGTAAAGATGTCACCAGGGTCCTACTCTTTAGCCCTGAGACCTCGAGCTGTCCTTCAAAATCCGTCCCTCTTTCCACCAGGCACACATTCATGTGGTTAGAATGGCCACACAACCAAGTTTCTGCCAGTAGAAACTGAACAGAAATGATGTGAGTCCTTGGAGACCTTGGATGAAAGACTGTGGAGCTCCTCATCCCTTCTGTCTGTCCCTTTCTCACAAGTGGAAACAAGGACAGGCCAGTGATCTGGTTTTGACTATGACAAGAAGGACAATGTCCTAAGGAATGGAAAGAAAGTGAAGGGAGCTGGGTCCCTGGATGTCTGCATGGAGATGCTCACTGAGAATTCTCACCAGAGACATACATTGTCTTCCATAATAAGCCATTGGCTTGTTATGGACCTCTTTGTTATGGCAGCTTAACCTTACCCTAACCCACCTACATCATGAATGAGTAACAGTCAGGCTCAGAAAAACCTAAACTGCCCCAGCTAGGAAGGGTGTGGGTTCTCGTGTTGGTGAAGTCACTGGATTTTGCTCAAACATTTTCACTGGAAATGAAATATGTTCACTCTCATTTTCACTGGATTCTGTGCCACTGTCCCCAGTAGGTAGACTTCCAGTCAGAAAGAGGGAACTCAAAGAGTAGTGAGAGCTGGCTTTGAAGTCAGGAGTCCCAGATGTTGGCTCTGC